TTGGCCAATTCTAATGCAGCTGGCTGTTACACCGACTGGGTTTTGACATTTTTATCCCAGCCTGCGGGTCATTTAGACTCTGTACACTATAAGTTCACTACCAACCAGATCTCAGGCGCACTGCTGGTTTTAAACTGTTTTGTTGCATTTTTGACCTAGATGGTGCCATCAAGGATTGCAATGCCCTCTGAATATGCCAGCCAATTAAAGACTGAGCCATATACAGATCAGCCAAGCAAGCAGGGGATGGAATAATTAAAAAAAAAACTGCTGTTAACTCTGCAAAGGATGAACATTGCTCAAGTCTGAACAAAAGTCATACCAGACTCGGTTTCTGTTTCTCTCTGGAGACCCTGTCAGCCCTCCTGAGCTGCTCCAGTACTTCTTGTTTTTTTTTATTTCAGATCTCAGTAATTTCAGTATTTCACATTTGTTAATAATTTTGCCTGATCAGTTCTAGGGGTGCGTGCTTCAGACTGAAGATGTTGCCCTCTGGCGAGGATTGTCCTACCTGTTAGGCAATAAGCCAATAAAGAACACAAGAAATAGGAGCAGGAGTAGGCAATTTGGCCCCTCTCACCTGCTCAATTATTCAACAAGATCATGGCTGATCTGATGGTAGCCTCAACTCCACTCTCCAGTTTGCCCGACTCCCCCCCCTCAAAAATCTGTCTCACTCAGCCTTGAAATATATTAAATGACCCAGCCTTCGCTGGTTTCTAGAGAAGTACAAACACTAATGACGCTCAGAAGAAATTCCTTCCCATCTCTCCCTTAAATGAGAGACCCCCTTATCTTGAAACCATGCCCCTTTCTTCTACATTTGGCCCCTTCCCATGGGAAACTTCCTCTCAGCAAACCTATCAAGTGCCCCTCAGGATCTTACATGTTTCAATAAGATCACTTCTCATTCTGTTAAACTCTAATGAGTGTAGTCTCAACCTTTCATCATTATGAGCCATCCTCAGGAACCTTCTCTGAGCTGTTTCCAATACAGGTACATCTTTCTCTTAAGGAGACCAAAACTGTACACAGTACTCTCGGCACACAGTCTCAATCGTGTACACAGATTACAGGTTCTTATGTAGATTTGACACATTTGTTCTCACAGCCAACCTACATCACAGGTGCAGGCCATTCAGCTCACTTGCTTCATGCCAGTTTATACTCTAGACAAACCTTCCCCCATTCCTACTTCAACATCTCCACCAGCCTATCCTTCTATTCTTTTCTCCTTCATGGGATTATCCAGCTTTGTCTTAAAAGTATGATACCATTCATTGCACCCACTTCTTTGTTGTCTCGAGTTTCACATTCTCACTGCTTTCTGGCTAAAGAGGTTTTCCCAGAATTTCCAACTGAGTTTATTAGTGGCCATACGATATTGATGGCTCCTCAGTTCTGACCTTTCACACAATTGGAAACTGTGGCGTCCTTCTGCCTGCTCCACGAAGCCATTTCGTAATCGAAAGTGCTTCTTCTGTCAATTAACCAAAATTTCTTACTTTCAGACTCTCCTCCAATTCGAAGAAACTCTAATTGTGGGACTAAGGTATGACCTGCTTGCACAACTATTGCCAGAATCCAAACTACATTTCCCTAGTCCTCTTATTCCGCGCAAGGGAAAAGATTGATTCTCAACAAACGACCAGACTGTTGAACTGCAGCCCCCCACGGTCTTTTCTGGACCTTTGACTTTGAAACGAAACCTCAACAGCAAGAGTCCCTGCAGATATTGGGAAAGACGAAGCAAGTTGCTCTTTAAAAAGCTTGCGTGGCTCAGTTGTGCGCCGGATTATCTGGTCGGAAGCCAAACAAAGCCTGAGGGTCGCACGCTGAATCGGTGCTGAATTGGCTCCTGCCAGCTGTGGCAGAAAGAGGATCTCAGCATCCAGTGTTCGGGATGGATCCAAACAGGGGTCTCACCCTCCACCCGTAAAGAGCGATGCAGCAAGCCTGCATCTGCAAAAATCTACAAGGCAGATAAAAGAACAATTGGCAGTTTGCACCGAGTGTCAGCCTTTGCTGCTCCAGTACACTGTTTCCTCAGGCTGCAGAAGTGCTGGTTGAATCACTTGGACGGCATCTCCAGTAAGATTCTAAACCCCCATCTCACCACTCAGATAATTGGTCCACTTGTGCAGTACCCCTTCCATGACAGCAGGGTAACCACCCGAGTCTTATGCCCGGCCTGTCCACGCCAACACTCTCTGCCTCTGTATATTTCAGCTGCAGGAAGCAGCAGGCAGCCTTAGTAATTGACAGCTCCTCGGCAGCCAATCGGACAGCACGCCCACCACGGTTACCCCTGACAACCGAATTCCTGTATTGTGCCGTCACAATCGCCCACGTCCACTGGGCGAGTCAATCAACGGTGGCTCTTGCAGGCGATTGGGAGAGGCCGCGGGTGGGTGGGGGTGGGACGACGTTTTAGCCAATGGGATGGTTCCGGAGCCGCGTTGGAAGATTGACGCGGGGCTGGGAGCGAATCCACGAGGAGCTGGATTGAAAAAGCCTCCAGTCAGTGAGTGCGAGGGTTTTGCAGCACTTTTGTAGAAGGGTTAGATTTACAACAGCAAAGAAGTTATGTTCAACCTGTACAGACTACTTGATCAGCCTGAACTGGAATATTATGTCCAGTTCTGGGCAGCGCACAGAGGGAAGAATGTGAAGGCATCCGGAAAGGTGCATCAAAGATTGATGAGAAATTTCAGGCATGAGGGATTTCAGGGAGACAGGTAGATTGGAGAAACTCGGGCTGTTCTCCTTGGAGAAGGGAAGCTTGAGAGGAAATTTGATGAAAGGTTCGACAGGAGAGTTTTTTAATCAACTTGTTCAGATGCGTTATGACACACCTCTGGGGCAGGTGGCTTGGCCCTCTTGGCCCAGAGGTACAGACACGACCAGGTGGGGAAAAACTGTTCCTAAACGGGAACCAGCGGCCACCAAATCATTGATTTGATTTGATTTATTATTGTTACATGTACCAAGATACAATCAAAAGTATTGTTTTGTGCGCTATCCAGGCAAATCATACCTCACCTAAGTACATCAGGGTAATAGAACAGAATGCAGAATACAGTGTTACAGCTACAGGGAAGGTGCAGAGAAAGATCAACTAATATATGAGAGATCCATTCCTAAGTCTGATAACAGCGGGGAAGAAGCTGTTTTTAAATCTGTTGGTACATGGTTTCAAACTTTTGTATCTTTTGTCCAATGGAAGAGGGTGGAAGAGAGTATAACTGGGGTTGGGAGGGGTCATTGATTATGTTGACTGCTTTCCCGAGGCAGCAGGAAGTGTAGATGGAGTCAGTGGAAGGAAGGCTGGTTTTCATGGTGGACTGGGCTGTGTTCACAGCTTGAAGATAGCAAGAACTGCAGATGTTGGAGTCAGAGTCAACATAGTGTGGCGCTAGAGGAACACAGCAGGTCAGACAGCATCAGAGGAGCAGGGGTGCACCTATAAAAATTGGGTAGAGTCATTGTGAACATGCCAAATTTCCTTAGCCTTCTGAGGAAGTAGAGGTGTTGGTGTGCAGTCTTTATTGTAGCATCGATATGGATGGGCCAGGACAGGTTGTTGGTGATATTTACTCCAAGGAACTTGAAGCCCTCAGCACCATTGATACAGTCCTCCACACTGCTTCCTGAAGTCAATAACCAGCCCCTTCATTTTGCTGACAGTGAGTGAGAGATTGTTGTCCTTACACCATATCACTAAGCTCTCTATCTTTTTCCTGTACTCTGTCTCGTCCCTGTTCGAGATCCGACCCTCCACAGTGGTGTCATCACTAAATTTGTAAATGGAGTTAGAGCTGAATTTGGCCACACAGTTGTGAGTGTGTAAAGAGTATAGTAAAGGGCTGAGTACGCAGCCTTGCGGGGCACCGGTGTTGAGGGGGTGTTGTTGCCTATTCTTACTGATTACAGTGTGCTCAAGGATCCAGTTGCAGAGCGGGGAGTAGAGTCCTAGGTCTTGGAGTTTGGAGATGGATTTGGTTGGAATTGTGGTGTTGAAGGTGGAGCTAAAGTCAATAAGTAAGAGTCTGACATAGATGTCCTTGTGATCCAGATGTTCCAGGGACGAATGTAGTGCCAGGGAGGTGGTGTCTGCTGTGGACCTGTTGTGATGGTGGGCAAACTGTAAGTGGATCAAGGCAATCTGGGAGGCTGGAGTTGATCTCTGGTATTACTGACCTCTCGAAGCACTTCATAATGATGGACATCAGAGCCACTGGGCAGTATTGCCTGATTGTTCTTTGGCACTGAGATAATGGTGGTCTTCTTGAAGCAGGTGAGAACCTCACATCGGAGTAAGGAAAAGTTAAAGATGTCTGCAAATACTCCCACCAGCTGGACTGCGCAGGATCTGAGTGCACAGCTGAGGACTCTATCCAGGCCTGTCACTTTCTGTGGGTTCACCCTGAAGAAGGCCAATCTAACATCTGCGGCAGTGACTGTGGGTACAGGTGCACCTGAGGCTGTTGGGCCAGGTGACATCATTTCATTGACCGTCTGTTCAAAATGAGCATAGAATGCATTGAGCTCACTGGGGAGGGATGTTTTATTGTCAGCGATTCTACTCGACTTCGCTTTGTGGCCCCCGTCATATCATGTAAGCCTTGCCACAGTCGATGTGTGTTTATGTGGTTAGTCTAGTATTGTCTCTTGGCATCCCTGATGGCTTTGCGAAGATCATACCTAGATTTCCTGCATAGGCCAGGGTCACCCGATTTAAATGGCTTGGACCTGAACTTCAGTAGGGAGTGGATCTTCCGATTTGTCCCTGGTTTCCAGTTGGGGAAATCTCGGATTAACTTCATTGGCATGCAGTCCTCAACACACTGCTGAAGTTTGTAATGGTGGTGCCATACTCATTTAGGTTGGCCACTGAGTTCTTGAATATGGGCCAGTCCACCGACTCCAAGCAATCACATAGGAGCTCATCCGTTGCCTCAGACCAGCCCTGTATGACTTTCTGTACCAGATCCTCATGCTTCAGTTTCTGCTTGTAAACCAGGAGAAGAAGCACAGCCTTATGGTCTGATTTACCAAAATGTGGGTGGGGGATGGAGTGGTCAGCATCTTTAGTGTAACAGTGGTCCAGGGTGTTTGATTCTCTGGTGGCACATGAGACATGTTGATGGTAACTTGGTAGCACACATATGAGGTTGGCCTGGTTGAAGTAACCAGCTACGATGAACAAAGCTTCAGGATATTCCATCTCAAGGCTGTTTGTAGCAGTGTATATTTCATCAACTGCACTCTTCACTTCTACATGGGGCAGGATGTAAACTACTGTCAGGATAATGGAAGTAAACCCCAATGGCAGGTAGTAGGGAAGGCACCTCACCGTTAGATATTCTCCGTCTGGGGAGCAGTAACTCACCAGCGTCTTCGCTTCCAAGTGCCAGGAGGTGCCATGCTTGAGGATGCTGTTTGGTCCATCCAGTGGATTGGGAAGTCCTCTGGTTGTAAGGCACAGTCAGATGAAACAGGATGAGCCATGCCACTGTGAAATAGAGCACACGGTAGTCTCTCAATTCTTGGCAGAAGAGTCAACAGTGACAGTAAAGGGAAAACATTTTACACAGCCTTAAAGTGTTGGTAGTGGCAGGAACCCTCAGGATGTTTTAAGATTAATTTCAATGAGCACTTGAAATGCTATCGTATTTAAGGTTACGGGCCAAGTGCTGAAAAATAGGATGAGATTGGAATGATGCTTGATAACTAGCAGGGACACAATGGGCCTTTCTGTTCAGTTAAAATCTCAGATGGCTAGTGGTTGGGGCCTGGAGTGCGCTGCCCGAGTGGGTAATGGTGGCAGCTTCAATCCAGGCAACTGAGAGGGAGTTTAGTTATTATCTGGAGAAAATACATTGCAGGACCAAGGGGAAAGGACAGGAGAGTGGGACTAGTTGACTTACTCTTACAGACAGCAACATTGACTCAAGGGTCCAAATGGCCACTTTCAGTGCTGCAACCGTCCTCTGATTTTTTTTTTGTGAAATGTGACCACAATTCGGGCTCATCATTCGATGTCGTATTTCCAAACAGAGGGTGAAAGGTTGTAAATCTGCTTCATCAGGTTATTTGCCTGAGTGGGTTTGTACCCAGGCAGAAGCACGCTACATGGAGGGTTGCTCTGTTATGTTCACAATAATATGCATGTGATTAGCCACCATATGGTGTGAAAGTGAGAGTGTTACACACATGGAAACATATAGAGTCATACAGCATGGAAACAAACCATTCGGCCCAACTTGTCCATCCTGACCAAGTTTCTCAAACTAAACTCGTCCCATTTACCAGCAGTTGGTCCATATCCCTCTAAACCCTTCCTCTTCATATACCCATTCAGATGCCTTTTAAATGTTGTAATTGTACCAGCCTCCACCACTTCCTCTGGCAGCTTGTCCCATACATGCACCACCCTCTGTGTGAAAAGGTTGCCCCTTAGGTCCCTTTTAAATCTTTCCCCTCTCACCTTAAACCTATGCCCTTTAGCTTTGGACTCCCCCACCCTGGGGAAAGACCTTGGCTATTCCCCCTATCCATGACCCTCATGATTTTATAAACCTCTATAAGGTCAGACCTCAACCTCCGACACTCCAAGGAAAATAGCCCCAGCCTATTCAGCTTGTCCCTATATTTCAAACCCTTCAGTCTTGATAACATCCTTGTAAGTCTTTTTTGCACCCTTTTCCAGTTTAATAACATCCTTCCTATAGCAGGGTGATCAGAATTGTGAGCAGTACTCCAAAGTTGCCTTATCAATATCTTGTACAGCTGTAACGTGACATAAGCAGGAATGTTACATAGAGTCATAGAGAAAGGCACAGAAAAAAAACTCCTTCAGCCCATTGAAATTGTGCCGGTCAGAAGCAACTACCTAATTATTCTAATCCCATTTTCCAGCACTTGGTCCATAGATTGTTCACTCCCTCAGTGCTGCATTGGGAGGCTGCACTGTCGGAGGTGATGTCCGTGAAAGGAGACTTTCTGAAGAAGGGTCTAGACCCGAAACGTCAGCTTTCTTGCTCCTCTGATGCTGCTTGGCCTGCTGTGTTCATCCAGCTCTACACCTTGTTAAACTGAAGAGCTGTATGCAATCACAGGTGCATGTGGGATACAAAGACCAAGGAGGGAGGTGTGTGTTACGTACAGGAGAACGAGGAGGGAGGTGTGTGTTACTTATACCGTCTGTGATTCCATCAGAACAAT